CAGCCACAAAAGGGGTAAGTGACGTTTCTTCTATTGTCATTTACCCTGTGGTTGGTTGAGGCTGTCGACTAAAACCCGGTTTCTCTGTCCCTGTTCCGGCGCGGTGCGAGAGGGAGAACTGCCCGGAGAGGAATCCCCGCCCCGCCCACTCCGACCGCTTGGAGCCTGGTTGAGGATGGTAGCACTCCCGTGTGGGCGGCGGTCTGATGACGGGGATGTCGCTTGGGGGGGGATGTGACTAGTCGGCTGCCTCCCCCTAATTGCTGGTGTCCTCGTGGGTCCAGGAAGGGTGCGTAGAGGGACTCCTGTGCCGCCAGAGTCGTGAGCTACCGGACTCGCGGTCCGGCCGAGAAACGCACCTGTTACACGGCCGTCAGGCCAGGATGCCGGGCCGTATAATCCCTTCAAGCGCCGTGGGCAGAGAGAAGGACGAAGCCGCTGAAGGAAGCCACCTCCCCTTGCGCCCCGGACCGGAGAGGGGAGCGCGTGCGGCCGCCGGACTCCGCCCCTTACCTGGACCCTTCCTTCTCGAACACTGCCCCACCTTCACTAACCCCGCAGCACGACGAGGACACCAGACCCCCTGTTTATTTTGGACACTTTATTCCCTTTTCTGGACACTATGTTTTTTATTTTCTGTAAATAAAAGCCTCTCCGAGGCCTGACGCCACACCCACTGTGTCTGTCGTTTGCTCCTCCCGTGACAATGTTATCTTTTATGTCAAATTCAAAAGTGTATTTTTATAAGCTTTTATCAAAATTTCTAATTAAAACAATGGAATAAGTATAATAAGTTACTAATCAAATAAAATCAGTATTAACAAAATTAATTTGCTCTACAGAGGTGGCACAGAAGAACACAAAAGTGGCTTGTAGGTATTTACAGACATTTAATGAGGTTCAGAGGTGGCATGAGTGCAATTAACTTCATAAATTCATGTTGAGAATAAGTTAAGAAAATGATCAAACTAAAACTGCCATTAGGTGGCGGCAAGTTACTGATTTTATCACTGAATCATTCACTCAATTGATTTGTTCGAATGGCTGATACATTCAGGAACAAAGCACGTGACTGTCTTTATGAATGGGTAATTTAATTGACTCACTAGATTCGTTTAAAAACGCAGATTCATTCATAAACCAAACAACGCTGTGTTTGAATGGAGATGTGTAGCGGCTCAGTTGTGAGTTTGTTTGAAACTTTTTTAGTTGACAAAATAGAGCAAAATCAGGCAATACTGTTATAGTCAGACAGTGTAAGTCACTTAATATTAACTTTTTGTTTACTGAAATCACTAATTGTTCTTACATGCCAACAATCCCCTGCTGTTACAGTTACGTTAATGATAAGGTATATGCTACTTTGACGTACCAGGTAATGCTAAGATAGCATCAGCCTCGTTTTCTGTACCGCGTAGGATAATAGCCTATCAGCCTTATCTGGTTAATTTTCTGTCGTTTCTATAATGTTAACGTTCCTGTCATCTGTTTGCAGTGTCACCCGAAGCAGCAGCAGCTTCAGGGGCAGGCTTACGAAAACACTGAAAGAGTGTAATAATTTCAGATCTCCTTTAGTGATTCATGTTAATTCATTTCTAGCTTGCACACTCAATGATGCGCAAGAGTTGCACAATAGCAATAGTCATCAAAAGAAACACAGCGTGGTTATCAAAAAGTCGGTGCTTCGCAACACAGACAGGGTGAATTTATGAATGAACGTGTGAAAGGTCATTCACAAAACGATGTTGTTACGTATCCGCACACTTTTTAAGTGGGTATACGCAAATCCTTGACCTTTCCTAGTGGGTATACGGCGTATACCTGCGTATCACGTAGACTACACCACTGGTGTGAGCTTTGTTAAGAGTGACTGAATCTGCTCGGAAGAACGTCGGAGGCGCCCCGATCGCGAATCGTAAATATTCAACATGTTGAATATTTACGATCAGAAATCCTGATGTGTGGGGGGAACATCGCAGCACACCACACACTATAGGAGCAAAACGGTTAAATCTAGGATTTTTTGTCCTCATGTTTGTGGTCTCTCACATTTTGAAGATCTTATAAGATTTTAAAAATCTTTTAGTGTGTACCCAGCATTAGCTTTTACTCCTTAACTCTGACACTAAAATGGCATTTATCACACTTACATTATAATAACCAAATGTTGTTGTATATGCACAAAAAAAAAACATTATTTTATTTATTTATTTATTTTATTATTAATATTTTTTTTGGTGTAGATGAGGTTCCAGATATGTATGATGCTGGAATTAAAATGACTATATTTGGGGTTTGGGGAGGAGTTCATATATTCCTAGATAGCTTGATTATTACCTGAAGCTCTTTGATGGCTATTGTCAAAATCGTATTTGCACAGTGTGCAAAATGCAAAATTTTATGATAAATATTTTCCAAAGGTTAGCAGGTCTAAATTCAGTCACACACACCTTTAATCACGGTTTTCTTTTCGGTTCGGCGTGGCAGTCAGTCACCAGTTTTTTGTGTAGTTTTGTGACAAATCCTACCAGTGTACTTTGAGGTCAAAATGTGTACCCGCTACACACAATGCGTACAGTTTGGCAGGTCTGTATTTGATTAGATTTGATTTACATTCCTGCACTGTTCCACATAAAAAAATGAATAACATGGTTGAAATTACCCAATTTAAGGGAGTATTTAGAAGATTATGCCAAGAAAGCACTGTGCTTGATATAGTAGAGAAAAGCATAAAGATGTTCTGCAAAATTACAATACTCCAATGATTGTGAACAGCACATAGGTTACGTTTAGTGCCAAAACCACAACATGCAAATGTTCAGCTTTCAAATTCACGAGTAACTCAATGGTAGACATTTCTTGTTTCCAATAACATATCCACTTCAATAAATTTGACATTTTGGAGAGAATAAATTGTCTTGTCTTCTATCATGCTTTGCATAAATCTGCTTCTGGTGTCTAAATGATCTTACAATGGACAAGATGTGGGTCCTAACATATACACCGTTTCACTAGCCTATATATTAAATGGACTATGTTTTAAATAGACTGCAAGCTGCAAATTCACAGAAACAAAATAGTTTCAAGAAATGCCGTTTACAAGCAAAAGCATATACAGTAATTCCTCCATCACTATCAATGACTTAAGGAAGTACACACATACTGAAAAAAATGTCCAAGAAATGAATCTGAAAATAAACAACATATTGTATGAAGCAACAAACAGGCAACAACCTTCCACCTCGCAAGTTCGACTCAGAGAATGTGAAAGCATGTTCTCTTATCTAATCTTCTGGCTCATTCCTAAAAACTCACTCGCAATATTTATCCTCTCAGCTGTCATACACAATCCCAACCTTGGAAGAATATCGGAATTACTATAATTTTCCTTCTACTTCCACAAAAAGGGGGCTGACTCATTTTCTCTTCTATTTAGTGAAGTTCTCCTTATCTGCATCTTATTTCAACCTCTGTAACCAAGAGGAAGAGAGAGAGAGAGAGAGAGAGAGAGAGAGAGAGTTGGAAGGTGAATGGAGAGGGCAGGCTCACATCTGCAACTCTGCAGCCTCCTCAAACCCACCTCCTCCAACTCTGCGCTCTGCACAGCACTGACCATGAGACACCAGACAGTGTGAGTGAGAGGATTTTATTCAATAAGAGTCCAGCTCCCTGCACATCAAACTCTGGTAAATCTTTGTCTGTTCTCTCTTTAACCGTTATGATGCATTGATTCTCTTGACTGTTGTGTTATTTGCACTTTTTCCTTTGGCTGCAACCAGCATGCAGAAGATACTGTTTCACATCTCATTATCTTACGGCTACCCCAACAGATGAGGTCATTGTAAAAAAAAAAAAAATGCTTGTTTGAAATTCATCCAGGGCTTCTTGAACATGGCATTTTTTATTTGACGGTGGTGTGCTGTTGTCTGTTGAGGGTTGGGTTGATGCATTCCCTTTTGAGAACATTTAAAAAGTTCTACATGCATAGAACCTCACATGCTTTGTTCTTTCTTGTCTGCAAATCTTTGGTCATGCAGACAACCTGCATGGTGAATTTATTTGTAATGGTTATCAGTTCCTGACTTGTGCCACTGTCACGAGTGAGGAATGAATGGAATTATTTAACAGGGCTTTGTCCTGTACTGGTCCGGGGTAAATGTGCAGATAAGTTATTCAGTCTAACTGAAGGAACAATGTAGCCTTCTTTAACTCATAAGAGTTGTGTTCCCTTGTTTGGGTAACAGCGGTGATTAAAAAAGGCTGCACAGACGAGCTGGAAGAGCATCAAAAGGGAGATTCTCCAACAAACAATTTGTGAGTAAGACATGCATGTTGATCATGTACGTAACTTGGTGGAAACTCCCTTGTAACAGCTCTGTCCTCGGTAGACTGTCGTCTTTACGGTCTTGAGTATGTGAAACAATTTCAGTGGTCTCTCTGATATAATGTTTTGGCTATTCCACTGGAGCCTGAGGAACTTGGCCCCCCATTTATTTTCCCCTCATGTTGGCAAACTAATTGAACATGCCTTACAGCAGTTGTTGATTTTGGTATTGAAAAGCACTGCATTACAATAGCACATTTATAGCTGTGCAATGGAAAACAGGCAGAAAGGTTTTACTAAGACAATGGCTGCCAGTTAGAAAACATGAAGATAACTGATCCAAGAAAAGCCATACATAATGAATCAAGAGTAACTACAGATGTGAAGGGAAATTTGAGCCTTTCCTGAGAAACCGACTAAATAAAGCATAGATATTTGGCACCCTTCCCGCATAGGATACAGAGAGGTTAACACCTCATCTGGAGGACAGGGAGGAATCAGCTGTTCAACAAGGGTTTCCTGCCTCCCACATCCAGTTGGACAAAACCCATCGACGTGGAATAACTCTTAAACAAGTATCACTACAAACACAATTAATTACTCACACTGAAATTCCACTGAGATTTAAATGTCATGTTTTGGAAGATACTTGCTGAGGATACATTTGGCTAAATTTAATGGGGCAGTTCCTTTTCATAGTGGAGAATGTTTAAACACGTCGCATTCCAGCTACATTACCGTTCCAAAGTCTCCTTCATCTTGACCTGGGACTGGAACCGTAAACTGTCTGGAGGTCCCCAATAACTTCCAAGGTCAATGAGAAGGTCATGGCGCAGAGAAAAGCCATATGGCTAGAGGTACAGGCTGGCAGACACACATGTCTTTCCAGTTTTTGTGCAGGACCTGTAGTCATTAATTCCACAACAGTAATGGTGCATTTACCAAACTGCTTTTTGCAGTTTTTTTTTTTTTTGGTTTAAAGTTGCTTTGGCTTTGTCACATGAACATGAGCTTGGTCATTGTCCAAAACAACAATTTTACTGGCAGAAAAATTTCCAGTTCCAAGGAATAGTGTGTGTGGGGGTGTGGGTTGGAGCGCTTAGCATGCAGACATGCTCATGAAAATAATGGAGCGCTCCATATACCTCCCCTTGTGCTGGGCTTTGCAAAGCACAGGAGTGAGGGCTAGTTCCACGATGGCTGTCTTATGATACACCTCCTGGTCAAAGATTGGAAAACCTCAGTCATATAACTAGCCAAGGTTGAAGGATGTATAAAAGTTTCACTCGTGTTCCAGTCATGCTCAGATCTCTCAGCTGGTGAGGATGGTAACTTGCATTGGGAATCTTTGTTTGACCACAGCAATCAGTAGGCCAAAAAACACCCCCACCCCTTCCAAAGGAAGAGCATATCTGGTCTTCATTTATTACGGTGTTTTTTTTAAATAATGTCTACAGTTCTTTCTCTTTCTGGAAACAGCACACAGTTTCCAACAGGAGCCAGAATTAGATGAAGCACTATTTCAAAATGTGACATGATTCTACTTGGTGAGATCGTTAAAAAAAAAAAAATCAAACAATAGAAATATGTTGTGTTCAATATAAGGAAAGCTCAATTAAGAGCACTTGTGGCATAATGTTGATTACCACAAAAATGTATTTAAAATTAATCAAAAGTATAGCCACAATATGCATAATATTTTAGTGTGAAAAAAGTTTTTTTTTTCTGTTACTATCCCTGTTCTGTGTATGTTATATGCATTATAAGTTATATGCATTTTTAAAACTTTGCCATGTTTCCATGACAACACATGTCTAAAATCGTAAACAGACCATAAAAATTACGAGAACCTTACACCTCAAGTAAGTAAGTAAGTTTTGATTGAACAATGAATGAAAGTGCTTTAATAAAATTTTAAGCTTCACATTTCTGCTTTTAAATGCTCCAAATCCATTGTGCCAAGTGCCTCACTGTAAGCTTGAGTTTTGCTATAAGGTAAAGTAAGCACAGGTTAAAATCTTTTTTTTTTTTTTTTTTGTGGTAATCAACATTATGCCACAAACGCTGCTTATTCAGCTTTACCTGTTTATGATCCTGAATACTTCTTTAAAAGCTAATTGGACAATTATGTCATTCATTGAATTTCAATGTTCAAATGATGGAGAAGTATTGCATAATATGCCTGTTTCTCATTCCAGTTATACAAAAAAGGTGCACACAACCTTCATTTCCATTCTCTGGTTTTCATATCCAAGCCTAGAAATGCACAACCATCTTCATTAGCATGGACCAAATTAACCGCATTGTATCCTGTGCGCAACAAATGCAATAAAACTGCAGCTCAACTGTTTTGGTTGAGATGTTTATATTGATTACAAAAAGCATGCCATTCATTTAACAAAACTATAAAAACTAAACATCTGCAAATCCAATGGCATTCATGTGAAGACATCTAAGAAATGCATGTCTTATCTTCATTTCTCTTCAGGTTGAGCTAAACTGGAGCTTGGTACTTCAGGAACATGGGTTGCAAAATGAGATCCATGCATTTTGTGTTTTGGTGTCTTTACTTCATGCTCCTTCACTTGTTTTGCACAGCACAAGATGAGGACATGAGATTAAGTAAGCGTGCTTCTCTCATCTTCATTAGTGTATGTTGCATGAAGACTATTGACTCAGATAACATCACCTAATGATGCAGTGTTCATGTCTTAATACAGAGCAAATGCTACAATTTCTGCAACTCCTTTAGACCAGCTTGGTCATCCAATTAAGAACTCAGGGCAGACTGTCAATAATTTGATAGAAGATAGAACTTTGGAGTCAAGTGTCTAAACTGTGACTTGCAGTGCGAGAAGTTCAAATGGTCAACTTATGCAGTACAAAATCTCATCTTCATTCCTCAATTTCAGGTTGTAGGACAGCGCCAAGTGATCTAGTATTCATACTCGATGGATCATGGAGTGTGGATGACATAAACTTTGAGATTGTCAAACGGTGGCTGGTAAATATCACCATGAGCTTCAACATCGGTCAGAAGTTCACCCAGGTTGGGGTGGTGCAATATAGCGACGACCCCTTCTTGCATATACCCCTAGGAAAACATTTCTCAAGTAGTGACCTCATCAAGGCCATGGAGTCCATAGAATACATGGGTGGGAACACAAACACAGGGAAGGCCATCAAGTTTGCCAACGACAAACTCTTTGCCTTGTCTGAGCGAGGTCCGAATGGCATTGCAAAAATTGCTGTTGTTCTGACAGACGGGAAGTCACAAGATGAAGTGCTGGCAGCTGCAGAAACTGCGAGGAAAAAGGGGATAATTCTCTTCGCAATTGGCGTTGGTTCTGAGACCGAGGAGGCAGAGCTCAGGGCCATTGCCAACAAACCATCATCAACTTATGTTTTTTATGTGGAAGACTATAAAGCTATTGTAAAGATCCGTGAAGTAATTAGGCAGAAGCTGTGTGAAGGTAAGCCACCATGAACTGTTCCTCCATGTCTCCAAGCTTTTATATTACATTTTCAAATTCATTTGTGTAATATTTTTCACACGTCACAATGAAATTATACTGTTTTATGGTCTTGAGCTTCCGCAGGGGAGCAAGACTTTGTAGCTTTACCATGTCATTTACCAATGGAGACAGGTTTATGGAATCTCCGTGTTTGAGTTGCACGCATAATTTGGAGCCTCTCACCTCAATGCACGGATCACAGTTTGATTTATATTGTACAACATCCAGGTGTTCTGAGTTCACCAACGTGGCTGTAAATTGTCCAAAAGTGTGAAATCAGGATCATGCATTGCTGACCGTGTTTCAAAGATTGTGACATCAATTTCCAGCAAGCTTACAAACAAGCCAGTTTGATTGCTTGAAAGTTCTGCAAAAGGCCAGTCATTCTGAGATGTTTATACACTGCTAATCCAATTTTGGCACATGCAAATGTCAACTTCGTATAGTTCCCTCCAACCAAAATTATTTCATTACTGTAAGGCATGTGTTGGATTTGCAGTTAAGTCTGTTGAAAAGCAGAAGTAGTAGAAGTGATCAAATGCCAAACCTGATCATCGGCAAGTCTTGTAAAGGGGAGGAAGCATATTTCTCAAGGCGCTTTTCTGTTCTAACAATGGATTACTCAGCAACAACTCCACACAGACTTGTTAAAAAGTGAAAATAAAAACTGGAGTGCAATATAGCCATTAGGTTGGAAAAACTGCCCTCCATAAAAGTTTGCTAAGACTCCTGGGGCCTCATTTATAAAATGTGCGTATGCACAGATTTGATCTTATAGTGTGCGTACGCTAAAATCCACGGCAACGTTCATATTTATAAAAACGGTCTTTGACGTGGAAAAGTACTTACCGTCACGTCACGGTCTGAGCAGGCGTACGCACGTTTCCTTGTGGCAAAGTCGGAGTACTGCAGCTATTTGAACATCTAAGCTGCAATAATAATAAAAGCGGTGTACGTGCAAGCACCGAATTCATCATAAACAACAAAGATGCAGTGTAAGAGATTAATGCAGTGTAGTCAGATTTTTTATTAACGGGAGTTTTTGCGAGATTAAACTGACCTTTTTAGTAGCCTAATGTTGAGAGTTCTTTACTCGCTTTCTGTACACAGCACAATTTCAAGATCATTTGCGATTTATAAATGTCACATCTGGAAGAGGCGTACGCACGTGTTTTTGTGCGCACGTTCGTTTTCTCTGAATCGCACTTATGCACTTTTGAGAAATGATCTCCGAACAAATTTAGGACGGTTTATACGCAACATTTTATAAATGAGGCCCCTGAAGCTCATGATAGAAAGTTTTTCCGGACACTGGAGAAGTTAATGATTAAGGCACTTTATGATAGAAAAGGTCTTCTCTTGTCTGGTATTTGCAATGGTGGGGACATTCTTTAGTTGGGCTGCATATTTGCAGTGTCCAGTGTTCCACGCCAAGGTCTTCCTACAATTTTTTAGACTAGCCTCCTAGCCAAATAAAATAAACCACTACATTCCGTAAATATTTAAGCCTTTCCAGTCATTTTTGTCTCACCATACATTGCACATATTGCTGTGATATTAATATTAAAGATAATGAAATGCAGAGAAATGCTCGGTTAGCCTAATTTAGATTCATGCATTTTTTGTTGCTGTGTGGCAATTTATCTTGTTTTCTCCATTTAATGCATCATAGAGACTGTATGTCCAGCAAAGATTCCAATCAATTCTCGAGATGAGAAAGGATTTGACATACTCCTCCATCTCAACTTGGCTAAAAAAGCTCAAAAGACACAAGGATCTTTTTATGGCAGCAAAGCCTACCAGGTGACATCCCGAGTTGACCTGAGTGAGAGCACTAGGTAAAATCCCTTTTGGTATCAAGCCTCTCTGTTCTAGAAAGTATACTCTGTTCGAAGTGAAACAGTGTCTTCATCTTAATGTCCATAGGATGTTATTTCCAGGCGGACTTCCACCATCCTATGTTTTTGTGGCCACGCTGAAGTACAAAGGCTCCGTGGTTATGGAGGAGTGGGATCTATGGCGGATACAGACTAAGGATGAAAAGCCTCAAATGGCTGTTACTCTGAATGGTCTGGACAGAACAGTGATGTTCACCACCACCACAAGCAGCACACCAAGCGGAACTCAAACTGTGGTCTTCACTAAAGCACCTGCTAAGGTAAATACACAGCTTGACAGAAGAACAGTGAATCAATTCATGAACTCTCAGTCTTAATTAGTCAGTTCCGTTAGTTCATTCGCCATTAGTTAAAATTTCCACAACATACACCTAAAAAAAATCCATGCTGAAAATATCAGCATGGTTTGGCACCCGCATACTGAATTTTGTGTTCAGGATGTTTTGGATCCTCAATTGATGTGCTGCTGTCTTAATGGTTCTGCTTCACTAGCTTCACCAAAAAGACCATGCCGCTTGAAGTTTTGGTCCACCAGCTATATCAGCACCAATCCAGCCTGGAAATTCATGTGTGTCTAAGCAGGGATACAACAATGTCAGACGAATTTCATACAGAACATCCTTTAACAGTGGACTCCAAGCCCATGACAGCCAAGTATATTGGAGTATATACAAAGTATAGGCTTACCAGGCACCATATGGATTAAAATGTTGGTGGAATTTGGACAGAGAAATACTCAATGGAATGTTATACATCATAAACATGATCTATTCTGTTTAACATACATTCTCTCTGATACACTTTATAGAAAGATCCCTTAGCAATTAAATAATGAGAACTCTTAAGGTGAGTGACAGCGCAAGTAGGTTTTATTCAATGTAAAATGTAAAAAAATAATAATAATAATTTCAGTGCTACTGAATGAGTTTACTGAAACATTCTTATCTTCCTCATAAAGTCACATTTATGGTATATTAGCTTAATGTAGTAATGTAAAAATTGTAAATGGTATACAACTCCATCATCTGCATTCTGCTTTATGTATTTTACAGAAACTATTTGATGAAAAATGGCATCAGCTGCGTCTTCTAGTGACAGAGGAAGACATCACTCTGTATGTTGATGATTTGGAAATTGAAACCTTGGCACTGGAGCCTCCTGATGGTATTTTTATCAATGGAAAAACACAGGTTGGGAAGTACGTCAGCAAAGAAACAACTGTACCTGTAAGTACACCAATGCCTTGTTTGATTCCATTCTATAGACCAGTTTTTTTCTTGTCACAAGCACCAATAAAATATACTTTTTTACGGAACATCTCACCTAAATCTCATTGAATAAAGTTGTTGGTGCTATGGAGATGTGATGTTGAGATGTGTGTCCTTTCAGGCATACTGAAGAGTGATAACATTTTGATATTTATTTGAATTTTAATAGTTGAAATTAGCTTTCTCAACATCATTATAAGGGAAGGCCAACATCAACCCTCTACACTTTGAGTACATCACTCGCAGATGCGACTACATTTCATGCTAGGCAACTAAATAATGTTTATTGTCAGCCTATTGTTAGATTTTACTCACCAGTGATTGAGTTAGAGGCTAAGAATTAGTTTAGTACAGCTATATTTTCACTCGCCTACACGTGAACACTAAGCATTAGAGAGTTTCACACAGCGTACTTTTACAGCTCAGTGAGTGCACCATTCCTAGTGATCTCAGTGGATGCACAATGTATTTGATGCACTGTAAACATTACTGTGTTGGTGCACGAAGTCACCAGTGCTTTGTGTTTCTCACACACACACAAAGAGAGAAAGTGAAAGAGTCATTATAACCACATAGAATTGACACACTACATGTCAAGTTCATTCAAAATTACTCAGCCTTTAAAGGTGCTTTCACACTTCGTTTGATTGCTTGGTCTGAACCCAAGTTCGATTGATCCCCCCTCCCCCTGTACCCGCTGGATTGTGTTCACCCGGTAGTTTTTTGGTTCTGAACCACAGTATGTTTGCATCATCAGAGTGGCAGCTGTTTACCACTGTTCCTAGGTAACTACTATGCAGAAGGCGGCGAAATGAATGGATGCTGGCTAGCTTCATTTTTGTACTTGATTTTGATTTTGAAAATTTAGTTTAGTTTTCAAAGTACCAACACAGAACCCCTGGTTCACATGAACCGTACCCCAGAACACCCTTTTCAGATGGACTCAGGTATGTTTAGTGGGTGCGCGCTTACATTATCCAAATGAACCGAACTCTGACGTCAAATGTACACCAAACGTGCTAGTGTGAAATCCCCCTAAGACTAAGCAGAAGCCATTGGTTCCTTCAGTAGTGAGTGGGAATAATGCATTAGCAGCGGTCTCGATGGCTAGCGCTAACCTATTACAATCTACACTCAAAAAAAATGCTGGATCAAAAACAACCAAATCTGGGTCATTTTGGCAAGCCAGCGCTGGGTAGTTTTGACACAGCTGAGTTGGGTTAAATGTGACCCAACATGCTGGGCTGTTTGATTTAACCCTAGAATGCCTGATAGTGTTAATTTTGTCAGCCATTTTTAATTTAGTCTTAGTCATAGTCTTCATATTAGTCTTAGTCCTGGTGTCAAATTTACTTTTTTAATTATTATCATATTTAGTCAACCTTGTCCTGTTTTTTAGTCAAGTTTTAGTCGACTAAACGTCTGAGCATTTTAGTCTAGCTTTAGTCAATGAAAACTTTTCATCACATATTCGTCATGCTGTATAATAGTTAAACTGATAATTATAATTATTATTATTATTAGTTTTGCTCAAAATTATACTCAAAAAGATTGTTGTCATTTGATAAATGTGTTTTTACATTTCAGGTTTTACACTATGAATTATTGATATCTGGCAACCGCACACATGGAAACTTGTGTAGTAAAACGTGTACAGCAGTCCGCAATAATATTTTGTCTCCTTTTTATTGATGTAAATTAAAAGAAACTTTGGTATAGTTTAAATTTTTTTAAATACATTTTAGTCTCATCTTTTTTTTTTCAATGATATTGCATGTTGATGTAGTCACAGTTATCGTTTATTGACCTTATTGTCGTCTCACCATTGTCTCATCTTAGTCATGGGAAAAAAGCTGGTCAACTAACATTTTTCATTATACTTTTCATTAACAAAATTAACACTAATGCCTGAACCAAAAAACCTACACAGATGCATAAAGGGAGTCCAAAGGACCCGTATTGGAATTAATGGTTATTCAACATTACACTTTCCAAAAGTGATTTTGTTGAACAGTCTAAGCTGTACAACTATTGAGTTACCATTGTTTTCTGCATTTTTTCCCCTCATACACAAGTACAGTTTTAGTTTGCCTATATGTTTGACAATTTCAGGGTTTTCTTGCTTGATACTTTTTCACATTTTGATAATTACTTTTGTCTGTGTTGTTACTGTAGTCATTCTCTGTGTTATTTTAATTTCCAACCCAGTTTGGGTTAATTTGAACCCAGCTGTATAGTAATTTTTAGACAATAATTGAGTTAACCCTACTGTAGAATGCACAAAGGGTATTATAAAACAATAGGCAAAAAAGCCAAAAAAAAAAAACAGATGACTTACTACTTCTGCCAACATTTTGAAGTTCACATCCAATGGAGACTTTAAGGATCGCAAATGGCAGGAAAACAATGTAACACACTTTGTAGCTCAAATGACAATGCCAACATCAATGTAGTGTATTCAGACTGCATTCATACTACACAAATTCAATGCTGCTTGATGTTCATACCATACACATGCATACTTTTTTAACAGTCATTAAGTTTTTCATTAAATGTAGAACCTACTCAGACAGTATGCAATTTCAAATGCAGTAAATGAGTAGGGCCACAAAGGACACAGGAAAGGAGAGCTGAAGGCCCAAACAAAGGGAGGTGCAAATGCTTCCCAAAAGTTAAGCTTAGAAAGGTACAAATCACATGTGAATTGTTCTGTATCTGTCTGCAAAGATGATGCAAAGATCAATTTTACTTGATTTGTGAGAAATGTGGGAAGTGAAGCTTCAGACTGGAAAGTTATTTAGGAAAAGTACAACTGCGTTTTAAAAATTATATATTTATAAAAAAATATATAATAAAAAATAAAATATAAAAAAATGATAAAAAACCTTTTTGTAACGCATATATAAAAGGTAAGTAAACAAATGAAGATGTTTGATATATTAAAACATTTCTATGTCACCGATTATTTGAATTATTTAATGAAGAAAATTTGTGTTTAAAAATAAATTTCACTAGTTATTTAATTTTTTTCTCCCGCCAACACACACCATAAGAGCATGGCGAAACCATCAGGCTGAGCCACTGAACTTGTGGGACGTGCATGCTCTTTAATGTCTGCATTCCCAACCAAGGTTCCGTTATGAGGGTTCCCTATAACGAGATGTTCCCTATCTGTCGGTCACTACGAGTTATGTTGTGACGAAATTAGGGTTCCTATGGAAAACGCCACAACCACTGAACGCCGTTACAATCCGTGGCACTGAAAATGCTGGCAAGCCATGGTGTGTTAAACAAATATAGATACAGAAGTCGTAACCTTCCCAACTCCCCAGAGCAAATTCACTGACCTTGGTGCCGAGAGGGGCCTCGCTGCTGGAGAATGCCTCCTCTCCACCAATAAGCTGGCGTGTGATGGGCATTCTGGCACACTATGGTTGCCATCGCATCATCCAGGTGGATGCTGCACACCGGTGGTGGATAAGGAGATCCCCCCTCACAATGTAAAGCGCTTTGAGTGCTTAGAAAAGCACTATATAAATGTAATGAATTAATTAATATTATTATTATTATGTTGCTGTTCCGTCCACAGAAATTCTTTAACTGAAGGAATTTCAACTTCTTTCTGGAAAAAGACTTGCTTCAGAAATTCTTTAACTGAAGGAATTTCAACTTCTTTCTGGAAAAAGACTTGCTTCAGATCTTTTCCTGCTTTTTCTCAGCAAGTCTAAATGAAAACGTTGGGGAAGCGTGCCTAGGTCCAAGGAATAAGGCCGCTACGGAGACCACATCCTACCCATAGGGAGGTGACATGTGGAGATAATAATATGGACTGACCCCAGGGGGGCAGTACTACACATGGAATAGGTTTCTGAGTTAGGTCCTACCTGAGTAGGGATGGAGCTACTACCAACAGAGACGGACAGAGTTGAATCTGTCCAGGGGAAGACACGGGTTTACCATGAAGGAAACCTTACCGTGGAAGAATACACATCTGGGACTACCCACAGGGAATCACACAGATGGGACACCTAACCCAGTACAGAGCCTGACCGAAACTCCAGGCATGCTAACACAAATACTGGGCCTAGCGTCAAACTCCTCCACTGAGTATGACTGTTGGGGGTGCTGGAGGATGCGCAACCAGGGTTCGCCGTCCCAGGGACTCTACTGGGAGAGAGAAAGGCGCTCGCATCCCTTGTAAGGGGGAATGGCGCAGCAAGCGTGACACCGAGCCAGTTTTTCCCGCCACTTACCTATTACCCACGAGAAGAGACTGGCTCTATGCTTAGGTTGTAGAACCTTGCGAAGGTGTTAGGTGTCACCCAGCCCGCTGCTCTGCAGATGTCTGTTAGAGAAGCGCCATGCGCCAACGCCCAGGAGGAGTCTACATTCCGGGTGGAGTGAGTCTTCATCCCCAGGGGGCACAGCTCACCTTGGGATTGGTACATTAGGGCGATGACATCCACTATCCAGTGGGCCAACCTCTGCTTGGAGACAGGCTTCCCCTTCTGCTGGCCTCCGTTGCAGACAAAGAGCTGCTCTGAGCTTCTGAAGCTCCGGGTATGGTCCACGTATATGTGCAGTGCTCATATGGGACACAGCAACACCAAGGCTGGATCTTCCTCCTCCGGTGGCAGCGCTTGCAGGCTCACCACTTGGTCCCGGAAGGGCATCTTCTTGGGTCTTCTTGGCAAGAAGAACACCAGTCAGCGAACAGACTCTTCAAGGCATAAGCTTGCCTGGTAGAGGGAGCTCTGGCTTGAGTGATAGTGTCTACCACGCCCGGTGGCAGATCACTTAAGTCTACTGTGTCTAGTCCAGGAACCACACGTGAAGGTTCCAGAGGTCTGGACCCGAGTGCCATATGGTGCCCTGCCCCTGAGAAAGAAGGTCCTTCCTCAGGGGGATCCACCAGGGAGGGGCTGTCACGAGGAGCATGAGTTCCGAAAAACAGGTCC